TGGGTGGGGGGGGGGGGGGGGGGTGGGGGGGCAGGAATCTAGAAGGGAGTGAGTGAAAGGGTCAGTCATGATCAAATGCTTATAATGCACCTGAATTCTTACCTATTCAGTTAATAAAAGGTTTCTGACGAGGATACGCAAGACATTCCTCACTTTGTCAAGCAGGAGCTTCTCATTCAACCTGCAATGTAAAGATATCACTCTTACCTTGTTTAAAAAAACCCCACTATTCTAATTCATGAAAGGGAGTGAGTGAAAGGGTCAGTCATGATCAAATGCTTATAATGCACCTGAATTCTTACCTATTCAGTTAATAAAAGGTTTCTGACGAGGATACGCAAGACATTCCTCACTTTGTCAAGCAGGAGCTTCTCATTCAACCTGCAATGTAAAGATATCACTCTTACCTTGTTTAAAAAAACCCCACTATTCTAATTCATGAAAAAAAATTTAAAGGCAAACCTTACCTATCTCATTGCCCTTCCTTTCAGGTCTAAATGCTAGACCTATTGATTTTGTGTCAACTCAAGTAGCTATCACTCAAGGAGGTTCCAAAAGATGAAGAACTCTTGCTAGACTTTCTTCGATATTTCAGCAGATTTAACTAGCCTTTGGAAAGCTGCTCACTATCAGCACAGTATCTTATGCCTTCACTTCTCTGGAAGTTGAAGCTGCTGTTGCTGCTGCTGCCTTGTCATTCTTTAATTATGCTGACTTGTCCATACTCAATTGGCTGCTGAAGTCCTGTCTTATGAGTCCTTTGATCCATACTTTGCTAAGAAGTACATCCTAGATTCTTAAAGCTGGTTAATCACTGTCTCATAGCTTACACTTTTCCATAATGCACACAACTAACCTACCCCACCCACCTAAGAACAAGTCACTTGCAGACTTCAACTCTTTAAAGTTGCAAATGAGTCTTGTTAATAAACAATCCTGTAACACTTACTATGTTAGTTTAAGGTAGGTACAGAGAGAGGCCTTAAAAAAAAAAAAAAAAAAAAAAAAAAAAGAGAACAGTCAACCTCAGCCCATCCTAATTTTCCCTGCAATCAGATGCAAATTTAAGTTTACCCAACTCCTTGTTGGCAAGCATCTGCAAATGCAAGTCAAGGAGTGATTGAAATGTGTGATTGCAGAACTCACCCACAATTTTGCAAGTATCCAGGTAAGATGCCAGATCTGAGGTATTGTTTAAAGTTTGACCCATTCTTTACAAGCTTCTTGAAGGTGATTTAAGTAACTCATTTAAGTACCCTTTCATCAATTCCCATCTCAATGTATGCAATTTTAGTAAAGTCTAGTTTCATGCAGATGCTGAGCTACTGAGTTTTCTTTAAAACTAACCTAGAGAAAAATCATTTTAGAACATTCACAGGAAAAAACTGAAGAAGTAGGAAAAAAAATCCAGTTTGGTGCCTATCAACCGTGACAATGTTCCATGTTTTTTAGTATTCTGAAATTTGAAGACACCCCCATAACAATGTTTGGCAACATTGTTTAATATTTTATTGAATTTTATTTCTTCTACAACTCAAATGGTAACTTTTGTTGTTTGATTGATAGGAACTTAAGCCATTTCATAACATCTTTGAAGATGGATTCCTGTGCTGGAATTGCATTTACCACCTTATACTGCACATTTACCACCTTATACTGAAACAGGTGAGAGCAATATGAGCACCACATATTGTCAAATGTCTGGGGTTTTTCTTCTACTGACTGTATCCCTACTCTTCGGGGTTTGTAGGACGCAAAGCACTGCTCTGGCAAGAGTTGAGAGAAAAATCAAATAGGATGACTAGTGCCTGAATGTGGTGTTCAAAGTAAGGCATCAAGTTCTCTAGCTAGGACTATAAACAACAATCTCAGAAATGGAGGACTGGAAGGGATTTTCAGAGGTGATCTACTCCTTCTTCCTGTGCTGAGGCAGGACTAAGTAATCAGACAATCCCCGACAGGTTTGTCCTACTTGTTATTAAAAAGGCCTCGAATGACAGATTTTCCAGAGTATCCAACCTAAATCTCCTGCTGCAAATTAAGCCTATTACTACTTGTCATACACTCTGTGCACATTGAGAAAAACTCATTACCATCCTTTTTGTAAAGACCCTTAATGTTGCTGAAGATTATCAGGTCTCCATGTTTTTTTCCCCCAAGACTAAACATGCTAATTTTTTTTAAGCCTTTCCTCGTAGGTCAAGTTTTCTAAACCTTTTATTTGTTGCTCTTCTCTTGAGCCTCTCCAATTTATCCACAACTTTATTTAATTGTGGCACCTAGTATTAGAAAATACTCCAGAGCTCAGGCCTTTCTTTCTAACACCAAGTAGAGAGGAACAAGTAAGCCCCCAATCCAATCTTACATGGAAATACTGTTAATACACCTCAGAATATCAACCCCTCCCCCCTTTTGCAAATACACCATAGACGACTGATTTGTGATCTGCTATAACCCCCAGATCCTTTTCAGCATTACCGTCACCCAGTTGTTTTGCTTGAATTGTTTTGCTATACCACCACCATCCAGTGACCTAAATCTGAAACGATATGCATATTCTAATTATGGGCTTCTTTTAATCAAACTCGCCCTGGTATCAAATCTTAGAACTAAAAAGGTGTCCTGTCACTGAAATATGACCAACTTTATTTTCAAATAACCCTGAATCTCTTACTTGAGCTCAATCTTTAGAGGAAAAAAGGACTTTAACTATGACAGTTTGTCCATCATAAGGCTTAATGAATTACCTGAGACTGTCAGGGATTATACCTGTGCTACTCTTTGTTCCAAGTCAGAAGGATGTGTCCAGAAAAAATGCCTAGGGTGTATACAAGGAAGCATATAGCCATTAAATTGTTTACAACATGTAGCTATTCTCTCCTATGATAGCACATTCAAATGAAATAGTTCATGTGTTTCTCTTGGATTGAGGCTGCTCTTTAAAGCATAAGTTCATCTAAAAATATCTAACTTCATATCCTAGGATAATAGACACTTGAGTTTCACCCTTTTGGCCTTTACAAGAATTTGAAAAAGGTAAAATCAAGTCCATCCTCTCTTCACCCAGAACTGGAGCAAGAGACTGCAGGTATACCCTATCTCTCAAATGAGACTGGAGGCAGTTTGAATATGACTTTAGAGTCTTGTTAAAATATTTATCATGCCTTTTTTTCTTGCAGAGCCAGCACTAAGTTATACAGAACTACAAATTAAAAAATATGCACAAACCAAAAAGTAATTTGAAATTTTCATTTGAGCGTAAGCTTAATTCTATCATTCACAACACTAGTTTAAATAACTCAATCCTAGTAATACATCTAAAACAAACTATAATGCAACATTTTCTCGATCTGCATATATATAACTCATGTCAATGGGAGTTACATATACACATTGAGACTAGACCCCTTAAGACTGCAAATCAGGTGTTTCTACATTTACCTTTAAATTAACACAAAATGGTAATTGAGAAATGCATAAATCTTCTCTATTAACAAAAAACACCCTGAACTACATTTCTTTATTTTTGTTAAAGTCTGAACTAAAATGTGGAAAAACTGAACTACACAAATATTGAAAAGTTAAAAATTCCTTAATTGTTTTTTATTCCTGGTACCACTACCACGATTTACAGGGCAATATACCTGATGTAATGAAAAAAAAAAGAAAGACAAAGCTACAACAAATAGAAGACCTCAGGAATGTACATCTAATTGATACTACATTGCATTAATCAATAGCTGCACTTTTGCAAACTGTGGCTATGGCAGTCCTGAACAAGAAGGGTTCTCTGTTTAAGCTGCAGTAACTTTTCTGACTATGGATCATCGCTCCTTCTGTGGCAGATTTTACAGTTCCTCTAATGCATTTGGGACGACTGTCTCAAAGTAACCTGCAGCTTTCCTGACAACTCCTCGCTCTCTCTCTCCTGCTAAGAACTGTAGCCTGTTGAATACAGGATAAGAAAATTATTACTCAGTGAACAGCTGCATATTCATCATCATCATCGTCGTCATCTATACATATAATATACCCACCCTGTTATTGGTTCCATTTAGAATCTTCGGCCACCATAGCCACCACTTCCACCTCCAGATCCATAACCACCTAGGAGTAATACATATATTGACCATTTTTTTTTGCATGTTATTTTAAAAAAAAAAAAAAAAAAGAAGTTTGCTCAAAGTTATATTTACCACCATAGGGACTGCCTGAGCTTCTGCCACCAAAACTGCCACCTCCTTTCATGGGTCCATAGTTCGACTGCTGTTGTCCACTGTAGTTGCCAAAATCATTATAGTTTCCACTGCCACCATAATTACCTGAAACAAATTTCATGTTTTTAATCATCCCAAACTCACCATGCAAGGCAGCTTTAAACACAAAAACGTGAAAAACTCCACAGAAATGGAAAACACTCAAAACTGGCACTGTTAATACAGCCTTCAACACAAGTTCTCCCTTCTCCCTCCCAAAGAAAACAAACAGCAGTTTCTCACTTCCCACTAAATCAGATAGGGTATGTCTACACTTCTGTAGAGAGAGGGATGCAAATAAAGACATCCAAACTCGCAAATGAAGCCAGGATTTAAATATCCCATGCTTCATTTCCATATTCGCGTTATGGCGCTATTTCGAAATAACATGCTGTTAAGACGTGGTTATTTCGAGAGAAAACCCTTCTCTCGAAAAAACTGTCTTAATAGCGTCTGTTATTTCAAAATAGCGCCATAACACAAATATGCAAATGAAGTGTGGAATATTTAAACCCTGGCTTCATTTGCCATTTTGAATGTCTTCATTTGCATCCCTCGAAAGAGAGGGTGCAAATGTAGACATACCTATAATAGGGTCTTAAACTTTTGCTGAAAATGGTACAATCAAAAAGCAAAGCTTTTTATTTATTTATTTAGAGAGTGCATGCAACGTAGACAAGCCTTTACAATCAAGTTTTACACAGTTTTGGTCTCACGGCTTTCCACAGCCTCACACTAGCTCATGCCAATCCAACTTTCAACACAATTTCAGGGAAAACAACATCAGTTACCTTGCCTGTGACCAAGCGTCCATACCATTATCTCACTCCTATTTCTATCTCCATAAAGGCAGAAAGTCAGTTTTTCTACAGAGGCGTCATGACCAATTAATTACCCAAATTTACAGCTTTCACTTGTAATTCAGGATTTCTTTCTGGACGATCTTATTGTAAGAACCCACAAATACTGCTATATTGGTCACTGAAAAGCACATCTAGAGGATTATCGTATTTGTAGAGCCTGTTAAACAAGCTGAAACTCTTTCAAGCGATTAATAGCTACTAGCTACCCACCAATACTGGGAAAAGAAGTTATCCAGGAAACTGCAGCTCAGTTTTCTCTTTTTTTAAAAAAAAAGAAACAAAACCAAAAAGATTCCTCTTTCAACTTAGGGCCCACTCCTCATTCTGTATCCTAAGAATCCAGTAAAGTACATGGCTAATCAAAACCATCAATGGTTCAGTGCGTGTTTAACTGAAGAGTTCAGTTAGGTCTACATATAAGAAGTGCATGGATTTAACTAAATGTATTTCTTAAACCTCTCTGTTTTAACTATTCTGATGCTTTTTGGAAGACAGGGTGCTCTTAAATCAGTGGAAGAATGGCTGAACTAATATCACCAAGTTTAGCTAAATTTCTATTTGGCATTCTTACACTCTGATTTAAAGTGTCTTTGAAAGGAGATCCACTGGTTTTAATCAAATGAAACACCAATTTGTTAATCAGTTAATTAAATCTATTAATCAGTGCAATGCCTGAAAGTAGAAGAGCTCCCAAAACTGTCAACATGACCAAAAAAAAAAATATTTTCCAATCAAGTCAGATGAACTCATAAGATAACACACATTACAACTGTCTATATGGGTTTATGGAAAGGTTTCCAAATCACTTGAATAGAAGAGGACATGTTTGTTATGCCAATAGAGCCTTAGTTATCTTCAAAAAGAGGCTCACACTTTGACCAGATCTACAAAAACACTCCTCTGCAGCCTGCATTGGGGGCAAGTTGCAGCATACACTGCCATGGGTATATTAATGTGAAGTAAGTAGCTATTATGCTCATATTAACAGGGTTTACACAGAACAAAGTGGTTTAGTGCATATTGCAGCGCACAGCCCCACAGACAATCCCTAAATGGGCTCTGTGGGTATAATTACAGAGTATATTACACTAGGAACATTCTGCCATTGTGAGTTTAGCTTGTACATTTAAATCTGCTTTTTCTGGCATCTCTTATTCCAGATAACAAGGGATGTATGCTATATTCTGCGGAAGCACAGTTTTTCCAATGTACTGATAAGGATGTTAAGAAGCAGGTAACTGACTCATGGTGTAGTTGATACAATCTGCATCAACTACATAATTAGTTGATAAGGGGCCCAGCTGAAGCTCTGCAGTTTAAATGTAGGTGGTGTCAGGCACACAGGCAGGTCCCAGAACCGCACTAGCTGGGACTAAGTAGTCCCAGCTCCCAGACCACTGTGCCTCTCTCCCCCCCAGGTTGAGACACAGCTGGAGCAGGGAGGGAGAAAAAGGGGTTTTTAAGCCAGCTATTATACAACCAAAAATAGTGTCCTCATTGAAAGTTGCATATATAGACAGATGATATTTCAACATTTCATGCATACCCATCCCTTCTTTAAGAATTCATACACAGGGGCTTGATAGCAAAGCAGCCTTTAAATATTAGTATTTCAACTATTAGCAAAAGTGTCTTATGCAGGCTTTGGGGTTCATACCTTGCTGAAATGACAGGCATGCCATGATACATCAAGTTGGGATGGTCTTGGGAATTCTCACCTCCTCACTCAAGGTGTCCACTATCTGATTACCTCTCCCCAAAGTTACAGCCTCCTCCCCTTTTTTTAAATAAGAATTCCAGAGCAATGGAAGACTGTACAATTAAGTATAATTGTAAGGCAAGTTCTTACTCCCTCTTTACTAGCCTTTAGTTGATTATATTTGGGGCCATATCCTCACCTCATTGTAATTTCTAAAATCATTAGCATATCCTGTAATTTTAGGTTCTATACCTAGCAAATGTAAATTGAGGGAAACATTTTAAAGATCTGCAAATATTGCTTACCGCCACCAAAATTTCCTCCTTCGTTGTAGCCATCATATCCTCCACCACCACCACCGCCGCCGCCGCCGCCACCGCCATATCCACCACCTGGGTTTCCGTATCCTGGTCCTCCACCACCACCACCATAACCCCCTCTACTACTGTAACCAGGGCCACCTCCATAGTTTCCACCTTTAATTTAAAAAAAGGGGGGGGGAGGAGGAGAGAGATTGTCACTGTACCAAAAAAATCTGGGTATAGACTGATAGCTACAAGAATGATCTTGATGAATTAATAGCTATATAAGTTACCTTAGTTTGTATATCTAAGCAATTAAGTAGCTTATGTTATATTTGCACCAGCACTACCAGGTGTTCTTGCTTAATACATAAGAAAATCATACCAAAAGGATACAACACACATTGGGGCTGTGTCTAGACTAGCAAGTTTTTCTGCAAAAGCACCTGCTTTTGCGCAAAAACTTGCCAGCTGTCTACACTGGCCGCTTGATTTTGCGCAAAAGCATTGACGTTCTACTATCCAAAATCAGTGCTTCTTACGCAAATGCTTTGATGTTCCCGTTCAGGCAAAAGCCCTTTTCCGGAAATGTTTTTGCGCAAAAGGGCCAGTGTAGACAGCTAAAAACTGTTTTGCGCAAAAAAGCCCCGATGGCAAAAATGCTTTTTCCCGCAAAAGCGTCCGTGCCAATCTAGATTCTCTTTTCCGTTAAAAGCAGTTGCGGAAAATCATGCCAGTCTAGACGTAGCCATACACACCAATCCCACAAACAGGTTTGGAGAGAAACTTTACACAGACCCAGTGAACTCAATGTGACCACTTCACACATTTTTGGAAGATCAGGCCTAAAAACAGAAATTTGACTATTTCCTGTATTGTACAAGTGGCATTTCTGCTTCTGAAAACATCTTGCTGGTGGGCAACATTCAGAGGTTTTGTCCCGCCATGGGTTTGGATTCTTATCCAAACCCAAATCTGCAAAGATGATAAATTTATGAAATTTTACATATGGACCTCAGATATTAGGACAACTTCCATGTAATCTTGACCCTTGATTTCAGCCAATAGCAAGCATAAGAACAGGAAAAGAATAGCTTTCATTTAACTATTTTCACTCCATATATATTTACATTTAAGTAAATGATAATCAAATACAAATTGCAAAATGAGCCTTAAACATGTATCAGTTTCATTTTAATTATCTCACCTCCAAGTAAGATGTAATTGTGCTGAAAAAAGGAAGTTATTGAAATCACATTGCCCAAAACCCAAGCTATCATTGCCAAAATTACCTCACTTTCCAAGTCCAAAGCTAGTTCTAATCAAGAGACATTATGCTTACCATCGCCAAATCCATTATATCCATCACCACTCCCAAAGCTTCCTCTGCTTCCACCACCGCTACCGCCATAGCCTCCTGAATCAAAGAAAGTTTTTCCATGAACAAGTCTGTTTGAGCTCTCATTTTGATGCTATATGAAAAGGATTCAAATCATCTACCTCTGCCACCAAAGCTTCCTCCTCGGCTGAAGTTTCCTCCACCACCACCACCACTACCACCTCCTCCTCCTCCTCCAAAGCTTCCACGACCCATGAAGTTGCCTGAGCCGCCTCCGCGACCTACAAGACATTTTAAAGATGTTAAATGAAATGAAAAGAAAACTAAACTATGTACAAATATCCTATTATCCACAACCCCAAACTCACCTCTCTGTGAACTAGCAGTCTGCATTTCTTGCTTAGAAAGTGCTTTTTTCACTTCACAATTATGGCCATTTATAGTATGATATTTCTGAACTAGAAAATAAAACAGTTTTGAAATAGTTTTTACTATTCACTAGAACATGAGCTACCCAAAGCTTTCGAAAAGCATAAATACAGATTAAAAGCTATATGCAATATATTTCCTATAGTGTTTAGTCAACAACTTGCTTACTAATTGCACATCCCATGCATTGATGATGTGTAAAATCAGAATATTGTTTCAATTTCACACATTCTATAAGCTACCTACCGACAATTTTATCAACTGTATCATGATCGTCAAAAGTTACAAAAGCAAATCCTCTTTTCTTTCCACTCTGCCTATCTTCCATGACTTCTATGGTTTCAATCTTGCCATATTTTTCAAAGTAGTCTCTTAAATTATACTCTTCTGTATCTTCTTTAATTCCACCAACAAATATTTTCTTTACTGTTAAGTGTGCTCCAGGCTTTACAGAATCCTAGAAGGCCAGAAGTTACATTTAGTATTCATTACTTCTAAATATAATAAATAAATAAATATACTCAAGTATAAGTTAAATTAGCTTACTTCTCTAGAAACTGCTCTCTTGGGTTCAACCACACGCCCATCAACCTTATGTGGTCGAGCACTCATTGCTGCATCTACCTCTTCTACACAAGAGTAGGTCACAAAGCCAAAACCCCTGGAACGTTTTGTTTGTGGGTCTCGCATCACCTATAAGATCAGATATCACCTTAAATGTAGTAAGTATGCACATAATTTCAGAAACATTTTTGAATTATGACAACTTACCACACAGTCTGTGAGCGTGCCCCATTTTTCAAAATGTTCTCTTAAGCTATCATCTGTTGTTTCAAAGCTCAGGCCTCCAATGAACAGTTTTCTCAACTGTTCTGGCTCCTTCGGGTCATGGCCCTAAAAAACACACACACAAAAACCCATAAGATATTTCCTCAGCGAACTACAAATACTTATCTGTGTTCTGGAAAGCCAACAAAGTTTTATAAAATAGTAATTCTTCTGTATTTTCAGTTTTTCCAATATACAGCTTTTTATTTAAAAATGCATGTTCACAATAGCTTGGTCCTACCTATAACTATGTAACAAGCACATGACACAGTTTATCTCAATATGACATGTTAATGCTACTAATGTTAATGCTATTTGTTACCGAGACTTGGAAGATTATAAGTGAACCACCACTATATACTGGCAGATTTAAAACCAGATTTAAAATAAAGAACCCTGAAGCCAAAAGGCACTATCAAGGAACTGATGACCATAGTCATGTTGGTTTGGCAAAAAAGCATTTTACCCTCAGATAGGAGAAATTGGGCTCCCAAAAATCACTAGACACATGATAAAGGGGCCCAATTTTCAGAGGATGGGACCCTTCACAATAAGCAACCAATATATATATATATATATATATAAAAAAATCACTTTGAAAATCTTAGCCAAAGTTGTAAAAACTTTTACAGCAAGATTTAAATGTCTCCTTTGCCAACATTCAGCCTAACATGGCTAATGGAATTGTTGCTATCCTGTCGAAAGTATAACTGTGCTCCCCTCCCACCTTTAAAAAAAACCCTGTGGACAACACGTAGTCCAAGAGTGAAACAAAGCTTTGTCTATATGGTAGAGTTGTACTGATTTACCTGAAAGTGTTGTTATAAGAATAGAGTTAAACTGCGAAAAAGCCTGTATGGACATGACAATAGCTCTTAAAATGCTCATCTTTTACAAACCCAAAATGTTGTCCAATATTGATAAAAAATAACTACAAAATTCTAAAGAACACTTAAATTGTGTTCTAACTAGGGATTTGATAGTGTACAGTGTTAACTGTTTACAAAAAATGTTTTAACACATCCCTAATTCTAACATTTATGACATTTTTTGAATTAAAATTTAAAAAATTTTGGAAGACGGAATTAACTGTAAAGCTTATTTTGTGTCTTCATTAAAACCTTTTTCTACAAAGCCCCATTGTAAAGCCTTCTGAAACATTAAGTCTAACATTGTATCTGAGGCCAAATTAGTCTGCCACTCCAACCTGCAGTTTAGAGATATTTAGGTTTTTTTTCCCTCCCAGAAAAATATTTACTTCCCTTTGAATTAAAGAAATATAGATGCTTTGAAAGACCACTTTTTTACAAGTTATTTGTGCAAGAGTGCTTAGCAAACAAAGTCTTATGCCTGAATTTTGTATCACTTCTGGGAACTATTAATTAAGTGGATACCTGACTATAGTGCAAATACTAATGGCTGAGGAGTCAAAAAGAGCTGGCTCTCACTTGTGGTTGAGAATCTGTGCGCACTGCCAAAAGCAAGCCCCTTATCAGTTTTGTATTTAAACAAACTGATTTAGTTACCATACAGGATACTATGTGATGGTAAGGGAGAGGAGAGGGTTTCAGGAGTCCTGTGTTTGCAAGTGGGAGACATGGTTCATGAACTATTTTTAGTGGCCCAGACTCTGAAAATATTTGAGTACCTTTGCTCCAAATACTTCAATTACATTTGTACTTAAAAAAAATTAAGGGTATACCATGACTAAACTTGCAATTAGTACCTGATTCTAACTACAATATAATGAAATTAGTAGCTTTATAATTGTACATGACATATGCTAAAGAATATTAACCTACATGATTCTACCTTTACATTAGCCAGCTTTGATTGTGTACACAAACACAATGCTTCCCCTGATGTGCCTGCCTGATTTAGTTTTACTAGACACTGAATTTATAGAGTAACAAGGTCTTGAATATTTCACATTAACGGAGCAAAAAGAAATGGGGAAGAAAAACTAACACTGAACTGCCAGAGAATCTGAGCAGGGTTCCTGTGTTGAAAGGGACCTGCAAACAGAAAAGGTGGACAGACATGGGCCCTTTTCTTCAACATGTTAGCAAATGTGTATTTTAAAATATGGAAGAAATCCATGTCTTATCTGTGCTCCAGTCATATTCCTGGAGCACAAGAGTCATTCCTGGGGTGGGGCACACACTGCAGTCTTTCCCTGCGATATCTAGTGCATTTTTTTGCAAAATGATTCATTTCTCCCTCGGCAGGAGGCATTTTGCTGGGTACTTAGTTTCCCCACACTAATTTTTTTGCACAAAAGTTCTTAGGGGGTATGATTTTTTTTTCAGAAAAGCTCTCCAAGAAGATGAACATATTTATCTAGGGAGTTTAAGGATTTCATTCTTTGGAGATGGCTGGCTGGGATTTCCAGGATGTTAGTTTCCAGGGGATGAGATCATCAGTCCCTCACGAGTGCACGAGATAAGACTGTGGTGTTAGTCTCCGCGATCGAGGATTAGGTCGTTTACACTTGTCAGCTACATTCAGCCTGTTCCCTCCCCTCGAGCAGGGGGTTTCTGAGGAGAGGAACCGAGGGGAAGAGCAGCTTCCCCGAAGCCCACGTTGCGGAGCAGGGCGCCATTTCGCGGCGCGGACGCGTCTATGCAGGACGCACATTCATTTCCGGAAGGGGAGGCGGCCAATCTCGCTCCGGCACCGCGCAGACAGCACTCGCCGCAGGCCGCCCGCCCCCCTCCCTGAATTTCAATAAGGCCTCCTCCTCCCTCCCGTCAGCCAAGGCCAGCGGCCACGCTCCCTCCTCCCGGCGCTAACGCAGCAGCGGTAACCTCCATTTTGTGACCGGACACTAGTCGCCGCGTTCACCCTCGCCTCAACATGGAGCCGAGAGGAAAGGGAGATCACGTGATAGCAAAGCGGACTCCAAGACAGCGCGCGCACCGAGAAGGGGAAGAAGGGGGCTGGTTGCAGTCCCCACCGACTTCACGGTGTCTCCGGCTCCGTTCGCCAGCCCAACATTTCCCTAGGTTTGTTATACTAACAGCCACAACAGAGAAGTATGAGGGAGGCGGGAAGTACAAGATACTGCAGGCCGAAGTCTGTCCTTTCCCTTAACAGATTTCTCCAGATCCTAGGCATTCCCACCTACATATGGGAACTGCCAGCAAAACCCTCAGTAGGCCTGCACAGCACTTGTCTGGAGACACTGAAAGCTAGCCACTTAAGTTTCCTTTCAAAAGCACTGCTAAGTGAAACAGCAAATTAAGTTTTAAGAAACAGCTCCAATGTCCATTCCTCCATTCCTCTGTTTCATATTCATAGCACAGCAACTTCTGAGGAACGCTTTTTAGATTAGTGTTTTCCTAGACTTACAGGTGCTGTTTTCACAGCTCCAGATATCAACAACTTTCATCGAGTGTTGGGGAAAGATGTACATATAGTGCCAACACAAGCTTTTATACAATTCCTGTTAGCATATATCAACTGCTCTGCAGGAACCAACCCTACTTAAGAATAAGATAGGACAGCTCAGTCCCCAAGTGTTTAAAGACCAAAAATAAGACTTAACAGTGACAATATTTGGTGAAGACTCTTGTCTAGAAAACTGGCTGCAGATCTGTCTGTTTTTAATCAAGAAAAAAACAACTACAGCCACGATAAATTTAGTAAAAGCCAAAGACTGTGGTTAGTGAAAATGTTTAACATACCTTGCTTAAAAAAAAAAAAAAGAAAAGAAAAAGTCACAGGACAGCATGTTCTCCTACTCCTGAAGCAGTGACCCCCCTAAACAGACTGCTCTGTACTGCAACACTTATCTTGGCACAATAAGGGGAGGGAGGCTGCTGAGCAAGTCTGCCCTCTATTCGTCCCAGTGGAACCTCCTATATCCTGTAGGACTGGGTCCAGCTCTCTTCTCCTCTGGATATTGCCATCTGTTTCACTGAGTGACAGCAAGCACTCAGGTTTGGCCTGGTCACTTAATCACAGTACCACTATAACCCTGTGCCCATGTTGCAAAGCCTAAAATGGGGATCCAGACCCAATCTCAAAGGAGCCACCACTGAGGAGTTCAGCAAGCTCAGACATTCCCCACCTTCAGGGCCTCCCCTTTTCACCAGACTGGCAGGACAACTCACCTAGGGCCTTTCTACATAGAAGTCAGAGAAATCTCATACACACAAAAAGGAGATGTTTACCTCTCCAAACCAAATGCTATGAATGACCCACTTCCACACTGACTTGATTAGCTTCATTAACACAAGCAACTTCTTCCTTTATATCAGTGGTGAGGGTCCTAGGCTAGTAGATTTTGTGTGCTCCAGCCAAGCTAATGTGGTGAGGAACAGGTGGGCTGGAGCACCAGCATGGGTTCTCCAATGCTGTGGGGGAGCCCTGAGCCTTGGGGGCTGGATCCAGGCAAGCCTTAGGTTCCCCACTCCTGTTTTATATATACATACCATATTCTGTAATTTCCCCTTCAATTCATCTGATTAAATGGGTTTTACTTAAGAAAGCGTATGCCCTAAGAAGTCTGGTAGTCTAAGGTGCCACAGGACTCCTCATTTTTGCAGATCCAGACTAACATGGCTATGCCTCTGAGAGAAGTCACAATCTCCCTAACATTTTCATCACGAAACCTGCAGCACTAAAGTGACCATAAGACTCATTCCATCCTTGTAGGTTGGGAGTGAGCTACTGATATTACATTCTATCTGTACTCCAATAAGGCTGATACAAAAAATAATTATGGGATTGTTTCCCACAGGTTCAGTGGCCACTTTAGTACAAAATATCCTTTATTCCCATTTTGTACTATGTTTACTTTAATAAATACATTTTAACATCCTTAGCATTAATTGGAATATTGTCCATAAGACATAGAAAGTAACTGCTCAACTCTACTGAAGCACTGGTGAGGCTTCAGCTGGAGTACTGGGTCAGATTTTGGTGCCACACTTTAAGCAAGATGGAGATAAATTGGAGTGAGTCTAAAGGAAAGGAACAGAAGTGATAAAGGTTTTATAATCTGATAGGTCAGGTTTTTTAAACTGGGCATGTTTAGTCCAGAGAGAAGACTGATATATCTGATAAAGATGTTACATTTACCAGGGATAGTCTCACATCCAGAAGTAAGGAATTGGGTGTTCATTTTAGTTACGGATATACGGTCTTCCTTCTTTCTGAGAACAATAGAAGGAATTCTGAATAAGATCAAGAATTCATTAGTTTACTACTGATGCTCCTGAGATCATAAGCAATAAGGTAGAGAATGCCTCAATTGTGAAAGTTAGCAACTTTGAGGACATTTATAAGAACTTTGTAACAACAGAAAAAAAGGGAGGTTTTACCTCATGTTCTGAGAGTCTGTCCTATGGAAGTAAAACTATACATAACATTTTAGCAACAAATTTGCTGCTAAAATATTATGTTTCTCTTTATAATGCAAGGGATGGGAGGGTCTGACCAAGTTGTTAATAGAATCCAGTAGGCATGAATGATACAGTGTAGTGAACTATTATATACCTGGCATAGAAACAGACAACACCCTTCATCCACCCATATAGGAGAAACAGAACAAACTTAAGAATAAAGGAAACGCTACCTGTGAAGACCTTCTTCCTTTCCTCTTGTAGTCTTCAATATCTCTCTCCTCTTTCATGGAGGACATTTTGGAAGGATGTGCTAACTCAGTTGCTCCTTTTAGCCTATATAACAAGCAGTATGAATCAGTATTTACATTTGTGGGTCTTCTTCCCCATATGTAAAGCAGCATAGGCAGGTAAAAGCAAGTAGCTTTACTAAGGATGGAGGGAGGGGATGTCAGTGTGGTAAAACTCAATCTGTTCTATTGTTTTTTATACAGCAAATAGATGGAAACTTAGAGGGAAACTGCTGCAGCAGGGTTCAATTCTAATTGTTAGAGTTAGGAAAATGAAGTCTGAAAAGTGTTTTGCAGTTGTTTTAAGACATCATGAAATCTGGTTGCTATTGTACAGCTATCATATTCAACAGCCATCTTACTGTATAAAATATTCCTGGTCTTGGATTGTGTTCCTGATAGCCTTCAAAGCTTCCAATGTTTAACAAATTTTAACAACAGAATTTCCCTACTTTTATCTGGAATATTCCCTTGTGTTCTACTCACCGAGCAAGAATCCTACAAGAGAGGAGCACTGTAACATGGGGAGAAAAAACCATTGCTGTGTTAGTCTATAACTGAAAACTTTAAACACAATCAATGGTCTCTAAGGTGCTGCAGGACTAACAAAAACCGCAGATGGTATCATGAGCTTTTGTGGGCACACACTTCTTCAGATGAATGGAGTTTAAGTAAGGTAGGTGGTCAACATGACAATCCAAGATTGAAAAAAGTGCCTGGAGTTGTGCTAGATCCAGTCTTTCACTTATAGTAAAGGACAGCAATGTCTGCACTACTCCTTGGTTATGTCAGTTAACACTGAAGTTTAGGCCCTCAATTTACAATTTTGAATACCGGACACCACCACACATATTTAGTAAACATATAAACTTTCTAGTCACCATAGGTAGCTTACAATACAATCTACTGAACAAAATATTCTGGTAATTATTGTTTTAGGTTTAATTCTAACATATAATTGCTATAGATCTCTGAATAAGTTAATACAGTCTGGTAAATCAGGAGCAATTCTATGTTTATTCCCATAGCAGTATTTGAAAAATGTAATTAGTAGAAATATTAGCTGTTTAGGTAGGCAGCCTACATATTTAAAGCATGTGATAGTCAAAACTTTTATCATTATAGAATAAAAATTAATGCTCACCTAAACTCTGTTATCATTTAAACTCAAAGTTACCAGATTGTAATAAAACTTAAAGGCTGTGATTTAACACAATCCATCCTGTTTAGAAGCATAAATGCTTCTATAAAAGTACCATCAGTACTTCTCTAGTATCCTCAGGCAATGTCTACCTCAATTCTAAGTTTGGTGCAGTCTGATCCATGTCACGTCATTGGTAAAAGTTACTAAATTCTCTCAAGATTTGCCAGAGCAAATAGGAGCCTATTCGATATATACCACATAAGCAAGGAACTGAGTAGCTGGAGGAGGTGGGTGGTGAAATCAGGATTTGAAGACAGTCAGGGGCTGCTAAAAGGGTGCCTTGGTAGGTTTTGATGCACACTAGCACAGGCCCAAGGGAAGTTGTTAGGGGTGTGGGAGGCCACCCATTCTGTTCTCCCTCTATTGTACCTTTTTACGGTTCTAATTCTTCTCACTTTCATATCAGGAGCTGTTATCACTACTACAAGGCTCTATGTTGGCCAGCACTAGACTTCTTAGAGGTCAATTAAATGCATGAGGCATCAATTGAGATGCAGGCCTGATGGTTTTGCAATATGCAGAAGTGACAACATTTGGCAGTGCCATCTGCAGTGCATTTCACAGAAAGTTAGGGCATTACATTTAAACATGATTGTAATTAAAGCAATTATATCTGAAGATTTTAAGAGTTTATGAAATGTGGGCTAGAAACAATGTAAATGGTTTACGCTGTTGCAGACAACCATTCCCAACGTAAGTAACATTATCTCTTGTGAAGAGCAAGAAAATATTAATGTGATTAGGCATACCACAGATTTTCAAGCTATATTAATCACAATCCACATTATTACGTGTTAGTTGGGCAGTTCCCCTGCCATTTGCCAACTGTGCACCGACATTCCTCAAGCAACTAAAACAACTGCTTACATGGAAAGTTATTCTGACCTGTTCTGCTACTGTCTCGAGTTTCCTCTCTGCCTCTAATGTAGTAGCAGTTACTAATGGAGGCAGTCAGGTTCTCCCTTTCTTCTAGTTGCTTTTACAAGCTTCAGCCATGGACACCTGAGAAATGCAGTGGTGGAATCTTGCTGTGAGTTTCTACTGAGCAGGGATGCCCATATCCCTCCCCAATAGATTGCAGAGAACGGAACAACTGTGTACTAGTTTGCTCCCAGAGATAGGACTTCATAGTGCGATTTGCTTTGTATCTTGATATTCAGTGTGGAGCAGATCCAAAGCCGACTGCAGTCAATGAGTCCCACTGAACTTCAATGGGCTTTGGATCAAATTTAATACAAGACTCTTTAGTCTCTCTTGGGACAGTGGGGATTTTGCTGGTGGGGGTAAATGTCCCTCTAAGAAGGCATTTTCCGGCTGTCTCTAAGGGGAGGGAGGAGGAATTAGAGAACAGCATTTTGAAGCTGTATCTCTTCGCGGTTGGGGGTGTACTTCAAGCTTACCGGCCGTTCCAGCCTCCGTGGGGTGCCGACTGGAGGCCGCTTGGCGATGCTGGGAGAAGGGGTGTTGCTGGAGATTACGTACGCCTTCCCCTTGGGTGCGTGTATTGGGGATTGTACTGGGTGCTCACCCCTCCCCCTGACGGAGGGAACATTACGAGCACTGCTGTTTCCCGGCCAGACCCACGGTGCCAGCACCCCCTCCCGCTCCACCAGGACTAGAAGACTCAGGGCGGCAAAATGGCGGCCAAAGCCGCGTTGCTCCAGCAGCAGGAACATGGAGGCCCCCTCTCCCCCCCGGGGCAGTGCGCCATTTCGCAGCGTCGAAGCGGCTGAGGTGCGGAGAGAAAGGGGCCTGAAGGGGGCAGCTCTTCGGGTGAGCTGGGGGAGGGAGACCGTTTTGCCGCCCCGTCCCCGCGCCAGCCAGACACACCCAGTTGCCTGCGCTCCCGTCCCGCATCCCCCCCGCGGGGAGCCCGGGCAGGATCGGCCTGAAGGCGGCAGCTCTTCGGGTGAGCGGGGGGAGGGAGCCCTCTTCCCCGCCCCGTCCCCGCGCCAGCCAGACACACCCAGTTGCCTGCGCTCCCGTCCCGCATCCCCCCCGCGGGGAGCCCGGGCAGGATCGCGGCGGCAGGCGGCTTCCCGACCCTTCCCTCGCCTCTGGCCAGACAGCAGCCCCGCTCCCTCCACGCGGCGCTAACGCGGTGGCGGCGATTACCTCCATTTTGTGACCAGACTTGTTTCCTTCAGTTTCAAATTCAATATGGAGCCGAGGGCAGGCGGGGGAAGAGAAGGAGGAGTCACGTGAGAAAAGGGGAGGCGGGCTCGAGACAGCTCGTGCGCACGCTCCTTAACCGAGAGCTCGGAAGTTTCTCTCCCGCCAGGAGGCTACCGCGGGGGAGGCCGCTCATTCCGAGCCCCGGAAGCGGGAGGGGGCGAGCTGCGAACAAGCGCGCTGTAGGAAATAGCCACGCGGGAGGGGGCGAAAGTTCCCTGTTCTGAAGGCGCGTGGCAGGCTCCGTCATGCACCATCCCCCGACTCCGCTACCTACGTAGGATTGTATGTGGCGGCCCAAGCCCCTTACTGCAGGGACTATCCCTGCAAGAGCCTGGGAGCAGCCTAGGGCGCCTGAGTTGCACATGCGAGACAGCGCGCTGTAGGAAATAGCCACGCGGGAGGGGGCGAAAGTTCCCTGTTCTGAAGGCGCGTGGCAGGCTCCGTCATGCACCATCCCCCGACTCCGCTACCTACGTAGGATTGTATGTGGCGGCCCAAGCCCCTTACTGCAGGGACTATCCCTGCAAGAGCCTGGGAGCAGCCTAGGGCGCCTGAGTTGCACATGCGAGACTCTGTCACCAGTCGCCCCTAAGTCCGTATACGCAAAAATGAAAGCGTCCCCGATGGAAGGACGATGCCGACTGACTAGGAACTGTGCCCTATTTCTGCCCTGCGAGCCTGCACCCTCCAAGCGTCCCAGTCTCTTCCTGCGCTTCCACAGTCCAAGGACCTCCCTCCTTATCTCTTCCAATGGTCACTTGCTCAACACAGCCTTTTCTTCCTGCCAGCTCTGGCAGCGTAGAGGAGCAGCCATCTTCCCGCACAGCAAACTGCATTCCCGTAGGAACGAATGAGGGTGACCCATCTCGAAGGGTAGCCATACGTTCACCCTCAAAAATCCTACAGAATTTACATGGGAAGAATGTGGGCTCACTTCCATCAAGCAAAATAAAAAAAGAATAGACCCAGTTTTGAGGAAGGGGGCAAATATACAGAACGTAGCCAGTATACTACAGCATTAAACAATATATCACCTCGAACACTGACTTATCAAAGTTAGGGTACAGCTACACAGCAGCATTATTTTGGAATAGCTGGCATTATTCTGAAATAATGTAGCTTGCATCTACATTACTAGCCTTTATTTCAAAATAATGTTGAGCTGTAACCCTCATTTCATGAGGAGTAAGGGAGGTTGAAGGAAGAGTGTTCTTCCTTTGACTTTCTGCTGTGTAGACATCACTAAAAGCTAAATTAACATATTTCAATTTAAGTTATGTAATTGATGTCCAGACAAAAGACAGACAGTATTGCCCTCTCAAGAGATTGAAAGTCATGAGACAAACCCCTAAAGAGAATAAAGATTGTCCCAGAAAAATCTGGGGTTTTTAAATCAGTTACTCCTTTCCCCTTATTTGCCTACAGTGTCTGTTAACATACCGTTAAAAAGTAATGCACAGAAAATGCAATCTTCTCTCTGGCTGCTCAGATGGAAGTTCTTACTCTTTCTTCACCCTGAGATAAGAGAGCTACTCTCTTCACCAAACAGCAACATTTGTATTTTCCACCTGTGACCCAGCAGCAACACCAGGTCTCTGAATTCACTCAACTGCCCTTAGAGTGCTCCTCTCCCTACCTGAAGGCAGGGCAAGTGTCTGTAGTATTCTCAGCCCTAGGGCACTCAAACACAATTTTGCCAGCATGCTGTGACGGCACGTTGGGGTCCCCCGTCTCCTGCACCCCGAAATGACACAACCAGACCGCACCAGCCGGTGGAGTAGAGGAAGTTTATTGCCTCTCCAGGATACAACACAGCACAGATGTAATCTGGTCACAGAGCTGGGCTAGGATGCCTCAGGCCCCCTTGAGATGGGGGAGACTGGGCCCCTAAACTCCAGCCCCTTCCCTAGGCTGTCTCCTCCATGCTCCCAGACAGCCACCAACCAACTAACTAAATTCCCTTCCAGCCCTGCCCCCCAGCCAGGGCAGCATTCCACCTTCCTTTGTTCCTCTCCATGGGGGGTGTCTGGCCACTGGTTCAACAAGTTTGGCACTACCTTTGCATAGTGAGGTTTTCCCTGCTGGGTCTTGCTCCAGACAGCAGGGGTCACCACAGCCCAGCAAGTACCCCCACTACGTCACACATGCTATTGCCCAGTCCTGAAAAAAGTCACAAACTCAGAGAAACTTCTCATGTCATAGCAGAGGGCTCCCTGAAGATGCCAAAATGCCATAAGCATGATCAGTTTGCTAGGGTTGGCATGACTACTGTCTCCAGGTTACTCAGAGAGCCCCCCCCTCCTTTATCACCATTATTGTAGACTTCAGGTAGTACCATTCTTTGCCCCATCACTTTCCTCTGCACTCTTCCAGACCTACCTTCCCATGCAACCTGTAGATCCACCTGTTCCTCTACCTTATTCACCTTTCACCATGCTGCTCCTCCAGGTACTTATGGCTTGTTTAGCTCCCTAAACCATGGAATAGCAGCCATTTTGCCTGTGGGGATGACTTCAGTCTTACTGAAAACAGTTGGAGATGGCATCCAAACCAAGAGCAGGCTCACTACCACATGCAAAGGGACTGTAGGGACATGGTGGTCATCTAGGTGACTGCTGCCCCATTGATAGTAATAGGAGTTGCTGGATAAGGGATATCTGAATAAGGGAATACTGATACATTGGCACTTATCAACATGTTTTCATAAGAAATGTTAACTACCACAAAATCACTGCAGTTCTCATAAGAGACAGCAGTACTGGAAAAGCCTTGCTTCTGGTCTCAAAATGGTAAATTTTCAGAAGTCTATATTGCAAAAGTAAGTTTAGGTTATACCAAAACTAAGCCATGCAAAAATCACCCCTGAAAAATCTTGACCATGTTTGTTCACAGTTCAGTGCTATTCAACTGGCTATATTGTAAATAAATTTCATTTGCCAGAATTATTAAGTACCTACACTTTAACAGTCAAGTCATTTTAAGATGTCTCAAATTAAGCAATCTGCAGTCACTTCTGAAAGTTTTAACAATAGCATTTTAACAAGCAACATCACTATTAAAGTCTGCTTTCTCTTGACTTTGCTATTATACAAACGTGTAGGGCTGTGGTTCTCAAACTGTAGGTCCCGACCCCCCGGGGGGGTCATGAGCAACTTAGAGGGAGGTCACAGTATCACAAAGTTTGAGAACCCCTGGTGTAGGGGATTAACAAACTTTCAAGTAATTCAGTAAGTGTGACTGGGAAGTACTTAATCAGTTTGTTACATCTAGCATTAGAAGAAGGATACAAACTGAATAATAAGTATAGGTAGGCAATTCTTTCAGTCTCTCTAGAGAAGAGCATTAGAATAAGCATAATCCCACCCAAATAAGACCCTATTCAACCTGTAAAAGTCTTCCTCCTTTCTTCTCACATAGTCTTGAATATCTTTTTCCTCTTTGATGGCTGCAGTAGCCATTTCAAGAGGATACCCTAACTCAGTTACACCTTTTAGCCAAAATAATAAGTAGAATGAGTCAGTATTTAAGCCTTTGTAGGCTTTTTTTCCTCTCCCCCCCATATGTGATCACAAGATCTGTTTATTGGGTGGAGTAAATCAATTGTTGAGGGTGTGGTTTTATTGAGGGGGTGCAGGTGGGGAAAGGCACTATAAAAAGTTGAGCAGAAACAGTACTCAAAAAATTTTGAGTAAATAAGCAGAACAGAGGGGGAAACATATACCTTCTATTATAATAAGGCTTGTACTACTGTTGCGCATTTAAACTTTCTTTTTTGATAAAACATCCTGATTGTTACAGTTATACAAACACAGTTTGGGGAAAAAATGTGTCCATAGTCTCCTGTACATTTTTAATGACTATTTCTTTTTATAGATCAAGTATCAACTCTATAATACTCAGAAGATTGCTACTCTTTCAGATTCAAGCCAGATTTAGAATTCTATTCGATTACAGAATTAAGCACTATGGGCAACAAAGATATGCATTATAGCAACTACTGACTTCAACTTTTAAAATAAAAAATATAGCAAAAAGTTTTCTACTGTTTTTTTCTAGAATTGCTTTACATCATTCAAAGAGTGACATGGCTCAAGTCTTCATCTGAAAAAGCCAATACATTATTGAGGTCTCAAAGGTATTCTTTTTATTTATATTTAAACTTAAACACTGGAAATAGTGCTCTGATGTAGGCTATATCTGTGGAAATAAACTTTGTAGTCATGCAGTATATAAAATACAATTTGTAACAGTGTAAATATATAGTAAATTTATTGGAAAGGAGTAATAAGGGGAGAATATAAAGGGAAATTAAACTGATCCATAAATGACAACATGAGGGAAAGGTGAGTTTTTTTTTTTTTAAGGAACTAATGTGGTTCATTTAATATCAATACATTTGATTCATTATAATGTTAAGCAGGAGTAAACACAGTTTTATAGAAATTCTGTTCGTTAATAGAAACATAATAGACAGGTTAATCTCTGTATTAGTTCCTTTAAATATTTTTTTTCTAAATTCATCTGTTTGTGTGATATTGTCTAGATATTATTGTAAAAATCTCATTCCCAGTAAAGTAAGTTTAATTTGCACGTATGTGTGTAGTTATCACAATAATGTTAGAAATTTAATGGTTTCAAATAATGTATTCAGTTTTATTGGAACTCTGTTTTCCTCTGATTTGATCTTGTTGCTAGTCCTCACACAGATGAAGTTTGAGTTAAAAAATCCTCATTTACATCATTTTGCACTGCATGCAATCCTTCATATAGGTGTAAAGTGGGAGTAAAATGCTACTAACTGAAAATGGTAGGATTTTACATACATTTTACATTGGTCAAAGACTATATAAAGCGCAGAACAATGAACACCAGCAGCTGATGTTTTCAGATTACACAGGTTCATAGTAGTTTTAATGGAACCATTCTGAATAACTAAGAAACGACAGAATGTATTATGCCAATTTTGCCAGTTCGGCACATGAGTTGAGAGAATTTTTATTAGGTGGATAACTTGCCTCCAGGATTCTCAGAATTAATCATATCTCGTGGACATACTCCTTTCCATTAATGAACACACAACATTTTCTTATGTGGAAATGTAATATAATTATTTTTAATCCATTTTGCTAGTGGTTCTTTTTTCCTCTCCCCCCCCCCCCCCCATAATATGGCATATTACGTAGCAGCAGTTATCAGGAGGTCACTGAGATGGCTCCTCCTTTCTTTCCAGCTGCTTTTGCAAACATTCAGGCTCCTCTGTGCAGTGATGGACAGTAGTTTGCACTTTAAAAAGCATGTATTTTATACTCACTCTTTAGATGACCTGAGGGCTATATGATTCTACAGAGTCTAAATTAGTTTGCAAGGCAGTTGGCTGTTCAGTAGGCAGGTTTTTTCCTGAATGTATAGGAACATAATATTGTATATATATGGATGCTACAGCAGAAGCTTGAACTAGTATATAATTTGCAATTTCTTCTTATTTAGGACCCATCATTTGACCTCTGTATTTGACTTTATTGCATTACTTTTTCTGAGCAAACATAGGAACATACACAGTATGTAAATGTGTTTAAATGGTGGCAGTAATAATTACATTCATTTTTATCCAATGTAGACTGCAAACATGCACTTGACCCAATTAATGTTAAAACGTCTACAGCCAAAATTACTCTAGGTGTCTGGATGAAAAATCTGAACAAGTATACATTTGTTCTATTTTAAACACCATTTGGTTTAAATATTTTTTTACCTATTCTGTTAAAGCCTCTCCATGTCTAATATATACATGCCTATAATAACCAAAGGAACACTACACATTAACTCCAACATCTCCTCCTGAAATTATGACTGCTCTATTCTGTTTGCTCTCTTAGATTTATTGCAAAATGTCTGTCCCCTGAAGAAGTACACCTGGTTGCCATGACTCTCATGGGGCTATAACCACAGAAAAAAAGAATATTAAATAGCAGATAGCTCAACTAAAAGCACTTTTAAATGGCTTTTTTTCCCTTGGAGATGCTGTATATTTTCATTCAGTCAGTAGAGAGACTTTTTCTAAAGCAATATTCTGTACAAAAGGGTTTATATTCTGTAAAGATTTTGCATGCACATGCACACACACTCTGTGATTAGCCTTAACCATATGGAAAATAATCCATATCTTGGATTGCTGAGAGTATGGTACTATTTTGTAGACAAATCAAATTTCCATAATGTGCTGAACACTAATCACATCTGGACATATTTATGGTTTTGATTTTGTGGGGTTAGCTCAATCTTTTTTTCCCCTTAAGACTGATTTAGTGGCATTTTCCTCTTTTTAAATTATATTACTGAACAGATAATTTTCTGGATTAAATGAGAGTCCCTCTGACAAAAAATGGGGGGAGGGGGGGAGATTGCTTACCAGGCATGTTTTTCCAAGGCCTATTCAGATGTACCATATAATAAATAAGACTTCAAAAAATCAGGCAAAGTGAGCTTCCTGAGGTGCCAGTGTAATGTGGGAATGTGAAATGTGAGTTTGCACTATTGTTGGTGAACAAAGTTGTATTCTGGTGGCTGGATCACAGGATAGGCTGGCTCAGAGGACCTAATTTTATCAGTTAATCCATTTTCTAAGCTAGAATTTAAAGTGGTAATGTTAGAACATAGGTGGGCAATAAAACGGTGGCAGTTTGCTAGGGTTAGCCCCCGACAGGCTGCTACTGCTATATTTACCTGTGCATCCACAGGTCCGGGCAATTGCAGCTCCTGTTCATTGTGGATTGCCGTTCCTGTCCAATGGAAGCTGTGGAAAGCAGCACAGACTGATAAACTGCTTCCTGCAGCTCCCTTTGGCCGGGAACGGTGATCCATGGCCACCAGAAGCTACAATCACCTATATCTGAGGGCATGCAGGTAAATATTGCAGTGCTGGCCCAGCAGAGGCTAAAGCTGGGGAACTGGATCTGGCCCACAGGCTGGTATTTGCCTACCCCTCTGTTAGAATGTGTTAGCAAATACATTTGAAAAATCTATTGTAGATAAGGAGGCAGCATATATGTTTAAAAATGCCAAACTGGTTGAGTAACCCACTTTAACTTGAGCAGCTTAGTAATACTATGTGCTTTGTGTATGATTTTCAAATGTGTTAGTGTTAGCTAACATATCACCTTTAAATCTTAGGGCAAGTCTACACTACAAAATTAAGTCAACCTAAGTTATGTTGATGTAGAGCCACCACAATAATTACACTGTGTCAACTAAAGTACATCAACCTATGCACTATGCCTTTCATGGGTTGGAGTTATTAAGTTAGTGTAGTGTTCGATTTATATCATTGGGATGGGAGCTACATTTTCGTGTAGACCCTTACCGAGTTAGGTTGACATAAGCTACATCAATCTAACTCGCTGGCTACGTCTACACTGGCCCCTTTTCCGGAAGGGGCATGTTAATTTCAGCTATCATAATAGGGAAATCCGTGGGGGATTTAAATATCCCGCGGCATTTAAATAAAAATGTCCGCCGCTTTTTTCCGGCTTTTCTAAAAGCCAGAAAAAAGCGGCAGACATTTTTATTTAAATGCCGCCGGGGATATTTAAATCCCCCGCGGATTTCCCTATTATGATAGCTGAAATTAACATGCCCCTTCCGGAAAAGGGGCCAGTGTAGACGTAGCCTGTGGGTATAGACCAGGCCTTAGCCTGAAGAAAGACAAAGATGTTGGGTGTGTCTTGTCAGGGAGAAAATGGTGGGTTTTTTCAATCATGTTAGTTGCATGTAGGGATGTAAAAAAGTAGTCGATTAGTTAACTACCCGATAAACGTAGACTTACTCGATTACTCACATTCCCTCTCCCCCTCCCCGCTGCCTCTATATTAGAGGTAGCTTGGGGAGGAGGAAGCAAGAGCCGGGACGGAGGGGGAGAGGGGGGACAGGTGGCTTAAAATCTGGTTCCTTCCAGTACTCTCTCCATGGTGCTGCTGCAACTCCCCACTGAGATCCCTGTGGACAGAGGCTGCTGGACCCATCACGAGCTCAGCTCCAAGAGCCCAGCTCTTACTACATTTAAACTGTAGAATCACAGTGGGGATAGTGACTTCTGAGCGCCTTCTCTTATCGACTAATTGTGTAGTCGATACAAATTATATCAGCTACACAATTACCCAATTACCATCTCTTAACATCCTTAGTTGCATTGTGTTTATTTTATAACTATTGAAAACCCAGTTAATATGCTGCAGGCTAAATTGTGTTGAGGCTAGTGCTAATGAATGCACTTAGATCCAGCACTGCTAATGTCATCACCATATGGAAAGAGGCAAAGAGTAAATATAAGATATTTTGACTTAGATTTAACTAATGCAGGCATTTTTTCCACAGAAAAGAAAAGATCCTAACATACCAGCAAATGATCCCTGATGAGAAAGAGAAATTCACAGAAGTAATTAGGGATATAAGCTACTAGTTGACTACCCTAATTAGTATCAGAGGGGTAGCCGTGTTAGTCTGAATCTGCAAAAGGGACGAGGAGTCCTGTGGCACCTTATAGACTAACTGCATGCATCTGACGAAGTGGGTCTTTGCCCACGAAAGCTTATGCTCCTACACTTCAGTTAGTCTGTAAGGTGCCACAGGACTTCTCGCTGCTTTTACCCTAATAAGCTTATTGGGTAGTCAAGTGGACTAGTCACCCCCTCCCCGCCACCGCTGCCTCTTAGCCGGTCCTGGGAGGAAACAGGTTGAAAGCTGGTTCCTCCCAGCACCGCCTTCGCAGGCTGTGTGTGTATGTGTGTGGCAGGGGAGGAAAACTGAAGCAGCCCCCGCTTTTGCCGGTCCGACTGCTGCACCTCAGCTTTTTAAATGTACAGTAGAGTCTCGATTTTCCGCCCTTCACTTATCAGACATTCCGTTTTATCCAATGGTGCCTCCTGTCATGTGATGGCAAGGGGCTCCAGGGACACTTCATACCACAATGGCCTTTCTTTCCCTTTTTCCAGGGCTGGACAGGAGCGCTGGTTGGCAGGTCTGCGGGGGCTCCCCTCAGCTGAACACGCAGCACGGGCTCGGCAACCTTACCTCCCCACCCCACGCCTGGAGCAGCTCATGCCCGCGCTGCGAGCTCGTGCGGCGCTCAGGTATGCTGGGCCTGTGCCCCGCTCGGGGCCCGATCCTGGCCGTCCTGCTGTGTTAGTAGCTCCGCTTTTAGGAGCGGGCCCGGACCCGCTTCCCCCTCCCAAAACTTTGCGGGCTGGGGGGGTGGGGAAGGGAGGAAGTTGCCCCCTGCGGAGCGAGCCCAGCTCCTGGCTGGAGCAAGCGGGGAGTCCAGGCCGAGGCAGGAAGGGAAGGGGAGGAGGGTGTGTGGCAAGGGGAGGGGCCGCCACCGGGCTGAGGAGAGGCAGAAGTGCTGGGGCCTTCTGCACGTCCAGGCGGCCCAGGGGAAGAGGGAGGAAGAGGATGGGGGAGGACGTGGCCCCTCATGAGGACGCAGCATTTGGAATCCGCCGGGGAGGAGGCAGTGCGTGCGCCAACCACCTCCGAGATAAAGAGCGGAGCCTGCCTGGGAGGTGCTCCCTCCCCCCTCAGCCGCCATCGCTGCTGCCATTGCAGCTCCGTTCCCGCCCCTCGGCCGAGCGTGCCGGGCCCCTGTCCTGCCACGAGCCAGCACCATCCCTATTATTCGACATTTCCAGTTATCCGACCATCCTCCGGTCCTGTTTAGGTCAGATAACCGAGACTTTACTGTACTAAGAGTGGGTGGCTCTTACTACATCTAAAAGGCAGAGGCACAGCCAGGATAGCGAGCACCCTGTCTCATCCCTTACTGACTAATCGAGTAGTTGATGGAAATTCCTTTGATTACTCAATTAGCTGATTAATCAAAATTTAACATCCCTAGAAGTAATATTGCCAAAGGAGAAAACAAACCCAGGACCTGAGCCTTATGGCAATTCAAGTAAGGTATTTTGTGCTCCTTAAATCAAAGTGTTAAAAAGTAATAGTTTATTTTATGAATAAGTCTTATTTAATATCTCAGGTCATCAGTTCTACAACTGTCAGTCAGGATCACAAAGTGGGTCCTGAACTTATTTTAATGTGGTCATCAGGGCTGGCCTAGACTTGCTGAGGTATGGGACGGATTCCAAAGCCTGAATTTTATTCCAGAGGCCAAAACTGAAGACTGAGGGTTTCAGTGCCAGACTGTGGGGCTCAGGTTACATGCAGCCTGCCTGGGGCTGAAGTCTGTGGGCTTTGGCACCCCTGCCCAAGGCAATGGGGCTCAAACAGGCTCAGACTTTGGCTCCTCCCTCCTGGGGTCATTTTAGTAATTTTTGTTGTCAGAAGGTGGTGTAAGAACTCCCCACAATGAAGATGAGAACCCCTGTCTTGGGTGATTATTAAATCCCCATGTTTAACAGCTTGGAACACACTAATAAAAATTAACTGTATTATTAGGCAAATAATAAACATTACAGGCGATAGTGTATTACTGTGGGTGATCTGCAAGTGAATTTTCTGATTGTCTACATATCTGTGCATGTGAAACGGGTATAGGAAATAAATCTTGTTCCTTCACTGACTGCAATGCAGATCTGCCTTGGGAGGGGTTTTGGGATCTGTACAGCTCAAACACATGTCAGCATTCAACCAATAGCCAGCCTTCCATCTGGGACTGGATTAAAATGTGTGGGATTGATTCAATATGTTTTTTTCCTCCTTGCTAAACATGGAAAACTCACTATTATTTACTAATCTGAGTTTATACACTCTCCTGGCTCTGGCTACATTATAGAAAGCACAGTTGTGACTACTTTTCAGCATAAAAATAGCTACCGTTAAAAATGTTTTAATGAGGGATTGTTCCAGAGTTTTTCCAAAATATCATATTATATTCAGATAAGCAATTCCTACTCTTAATTTACTCTCCCAGTTATGTTTACTCTTCCCAATGGCTAGGAGCCTGCTTTCTGATTATAACATGTCTTGCCTTTTTGTTTTCGATGTTCTGTTAAAAAATTGTGCTTTATTTTAAAAAATGATAACCATTTTATTAATCTAAGGTGTCTGGAATTTTAAAAGGTCTTCTCAAATTGATTTTATATACAATATTTCCTCACCTGTTCTTGATGAGGGTAACTTCTTTTCTTTTGAGACTTTCAGAGTACTTATCTGAGGAATGTGACTACAGTTTATTTTTATTTGTAGCACAAAACATATATGAATAGAACTTTGTTTATCTCAAGGTTCCAGAGTGAATTTCTTGATTTCTCCAGGGTAGTGTCTCATATCCACACTTTCAACCAGGGTGAGGAACCTCAGGCCCGGGGGCTGGATGTGGCCCTCAGCTTGCCTGGATCTGGCCCCCGAGGCTCAGTTTTGGGAGCCCATGCTAGTGCTCCAGCCTCTCTCTTATCCACACACAGGGCTTGAGCACACAAAATCTACTAGCCTGGGCCCCAGGAGACTCTGGTATACAAGGGAAATGTGGGGAGTGTCTTTTTCTTTCTCAGTCAGGAGCTTCTCACTTGTGTGCGGCCCTCCAACTGATTTTTCCGTGGGTCTTCCCTACCTCTGCTTTATACTAATGTTTACATTGGGACTTTCATCTTAAGACTTATATGTAGAAAAATACATGTATCCAGACAGCTTTCTAGTGATATTACTTTTGAATAAACAGTAGTATATCATTCATTTCTCCTTATAAGCAGGAAATTTTTTTTTATTTAGGAACAAATAATTGTAAGTACAAATACATGTCACCCTATTATGAGAAACGGTCTTGTTTTAAGAATGTGTCAGGACCGTAGGTGATTTCCAGGTGTTTTCTTCTAAGTAATCCTCTCTGTCTTTAATTTTTATCTGAACTACACCTGCAGCTCCAAAGTGAAAGCTGTGCATCTGTCAGAGAGAATGGCTGGGCTCCATTTATATATTGCAGCTATTTTAATCTCTTATTGAGATATATGCGTAGAATCAACTGGGAGGATATAACTGGGAGTATATAAGACGTATGTGTTATTAGTGAACATTTGTGTGGCACTAATATGTTCCAATTTCATCACATTAATGACGGTGTACACCTGTTTACCAAATACTGTAGGTCACATTGCAACAGGCACAGTTGGAAACTGCTGAATATACTAGAAATATTTATGGCAATATATAACCTGATGACATTTCCTGCCTTCAGGACACATATGATTTGAGTTCTCCTGGTTTTGTTGACCATATAATTAATCATTTCCCATATATTAATAAGAAGGATAGTAGTGTAAGCAGTTTACACAAACAAAAATTTAGGATAAGGTCAACTGTGTAATACATAAAATGGAATAATATTTTGAGACCATGATTAATTTTTAAACAAGGGATTTCACATAACTCAAAGCCAGGTGGATACCCAGAACTCACCTACTACTGGACAGACCCAACAAAGAAAGCAACAGAATGCCACTAGCCATTACTTAGGGTACGTCTAGACTACATGCCTCTGGCAACAGAGGCATGCAGATTAGACTACCCGGCATAGGAAAATGAAGTGGCGATTTAAATAATCACCGCTTCATTTAAATTTAAATGGCTGCTGCGCTGAGCCGATCAGCTGTTTGGCAGCTCAGCGCGGTAGTCTGGACGCTCCCTGTCACCATCCCCTACCTGAAAAGAGTGGGAAAAGGAAAAAAAAGGCAGGAAAAGTGTGTCACCTGACTAATTTGCCTGGCAACAAAGCATTTATAAGGGGTGTTCACCTAACCCTCAGGGCTCTCTACATACATGCATAACTTAGCGCTGCTGGAGCAACAGCTAGTACACTGTTTGGCATATAAGGCCATCCAAGGCAGAAGCTTGGTCGCTGTCACCACAGAGGGTGGTAGTTTCCCACCAGAGAGAATGTCTGGGAGAGTACTCTATGGTGCAGCAACCGTGTGCCCCACACTTGTAATGTGTGAGTTATTTGTTTTACAGGTAAGGAGATTGCAGCAGGGCCAGTCATACTCACATGCATACTTACCATTACTCTCCTTCCAGTCCCCACGTAGGGTGGCATATCAAGAATAGAAGAAAAGAAAAAGGAAGACTAGAAGCAAGAAGACCTTTCACCTACCTGAGTCTCTGCAACTCTGACCTGTCTCTGAGTTCCCTTTTTCTATCCTGAAGCTTCACTGGACATCGTGATGATGGTAGGACCCCCTGTTGTTTTTTTCCCCCCCCCCCCTGGCTTCAAGCCATTGTTGTTATGACATCCAGATTTTTATGTTTGTCCTTTAAGTTAATTCATGTTAATGAACCAGTTACTGTTCCAGTCATCTGAGTCTAATTTGACTAATACCTGGTGACACAGATACAGAAAGGGTGGAGTACCTGTGTTCTCACAGACAGAATTCAGTCCTGGTCTAACAATGATCCCTTGCTCTCAGAGACCTTGGGAGGCAGGCCAGTCCTCCCTTACAAACAGCCCTCCAATCTGAAACATATACCACCAATGTCACACCCCACAATAGAAACACTAATTCAGGAACCTATCCCAGCAGCTAACCCTGTTGCCAACTGTGTCCACACATCTGCCCTCGACTGTGTCTAAACTACATCCCTTTTTTGATAAAGGGATGTAGATTAGGCACATCGATATTGCAAATGAAGCCAGGATTTAATATCCCGCACTTCATTTGCATAATGGTAGCTGCTACTTTTTTTCGAAACAAACAAACAAACAAACAAATGGCAGAAAAATGAGGAGTACAGGATCTTTCGAAATGGGGCATTTCTGTCGAAAATGCCTCGTCTAAGCTGCCAGTTTTTTTTTCAAAATAGCCCCATTTTGAAAAAAAGCGGCAGCTCTCATTATGCAAACGAAGCACGGGATATTTAAATCCCAGCTTCATTTGCGATATCGATGTGCCTAATCTACATCCCTTTATTGAAAAAGGGATGTAGTTTAGACACAGCCCTAGTGACACCATCACAGGACCTAACCTCATCAGCTATACCATCAAAGGCTCATTTATGTGCACATCTACTGATGTGTAATATATGCCATCACGTGCCAACAATGTCCCTCTGCCATGTACATCTGACAAACCAGACTGTCTCTATGCAAAAGAATAAATGGACACAAATCGGACATTAGAAGAATGGCAAAAGTAAGTGAGGGAGCACTTTAACCTCCCCGGACATGCAGTTTCAGCCTTGCAAGTTGCCTTTCTCATGTTAAAAAAAAAACACTTCAGAAACAGACTGCAAGAAGAAACTGCTGAGCTGGAATTCATAAGTAAATTTCACACCAAGGTCTTCTAAATAGACACATGTAGTGGTTCTTGCAATTACAATAGGTAATTTTTCATTCAGGTACTCTCACCTTCTCACCATTGCTGGTCATGAGCCATGCACACTCTGATTTGATTAGTACTGATGTCACATTCCCATCCCTGGGCCTTTCTTTCTTTCTTTCTTTCTTTCTTTCTTTCTTTCTTTCTTTCTTTCTTTCTTTCTTTCTTTCTTTCTTTCTTTCTTTCTTTCTTTCTTTCTTTCTTTCTTTCTTTCTTTCTTTCTTTCTTTCTTTCTTTCTTTCTTTCTTTCTTTCTTTGTTGTATCTCATTAAAGCTAATAATCCTAATAACCTAATACTAATACATTTGTCAGTCTCTAAAACCAGGCTCCTTGGCTGTGTCTACATTGGCACCCTTTTCCGGAAAAGAGATGCTAATGAGACAAGTCAGAATTGCAAATGCCACGGGGGATTGAAATATCCCCTGTGGCATTTGCATGAACATGGCTTCCACTTTTTCTGGCTCGAAGCTTTGCTGGAGAAAAGCGCCAGTCTAGATGGGATCTTTCGGAAAATAAAGCCTTTTCCGGAAGATCCCTTATTCCTGATTTTAAGAGGAATAACGGATCTTCCGGAAAAGGCTTTATTTTCCGAAAGATCACGTCTACACTGGCGCTTTTCTCTGGCAAAGCCCTGAGCCGGAAAAAAGCGGCAGCTATGTTCATACAAATGCCACGGGGGATATTTAAATCTCCCGCGGCATTTGCAATTCCGAAGTGTCTCATTAGCATCCCTTTTCCAGAAAAGGGTGCCAATGTAGACACAGCCCTTGTGTTTTTGCTGAAACAAATTAACATGGCTACTTCTCCGAAACCAGTGTTCACACTGAAAATATCTTTGTAAAACTATAGTAAACACTACTTATCAGTATTAGATAGAATAAGCAGACAAGCGTAGGTTTTTATGAAATATCTATTTGATCTCCTCTGGGCGCTGTTGAAAGCTATCTAGAAGTTTTCATAATGTAAGACTCTGCCTACAGAAGAGTTTGTATCAATGTTTGCAAAACCAGTTATGCTCAAACACAGTTGAAATGTGGTTTGCAAACCATACTGAACATGGTGTCCATCTAACTTACACTTATATATCAAGGGAACTGGTCATAATACTCTTGTCTCCTTGATGAGACACTTGATGATTTTGTAGTGTTGGTGGAATCTAACTGTTGGTGGAATCCCAGTTATGCTGGGAGGGTCTCCCTGGCAAATGAAGCCATTCTCAGGCCACTTGGACAGAAGGAAGAAGCTGTTTAACTATTGCCCTGATGTAATATTACAAGTTGGCCAATGGGTAGCACAAGTTAAGCCAGTTCTGACCATGACTGTAGAGTGAGTAGTGGGTAATAGCAGGAAAAGAGAGGAGAGAGCTGTTACTCTTAGTCAATTGTGAAACATTGTTACACTTGGCTATATCACCTGCTGTCAGCTCTCTTCCCCCCTCTCCTTTTGTTTGGTTCAGTGACCCTTTGTCAACAATTTCGACTTTAACTTGTGGATTTCATCATGGTTTTAACAAATATGTATATGCTTAAATTTGGATGGGGTTTTTAAATCCTTTTCTGAAGTGGGGCATTAAATCTTGCTACAGTAGTTACAAATACTTAGTTATCAATAATTGGAACAGTGCTTGATGTGAAATGTCAAATATTGCTGTGGCAAGAGCTGGTAGAAATTTTTTAATGTAAAAGGTATAAAAATCCTTTTTAAAAACAAAAATGTGTAAGAAAATTTAATTTTTTGACATTTTTTTATGAACTAGTCCAAAACCAAATTAAGCTAGTTCTCCTATACTTCCATTTCAGTTTTTCCTTCCCCCCCCCTTTTTCCCCCACATTTTCAGTGCCAAAAGGGGAAACCAGTGAAAAGGAAAAAAGAAAGAGACAGAGAAAAGAATTCAAATTGACACTTTTCCAATCAAAACATTTTGAATACATTTATGAAACTTATGAATTTTTTGCAAACACTCTTTTTCATTTTTGAATGCCTCTAGCTGTGGCTGTTGAGTGTGAACAGAGCCTAAGGCTGTGTCCAGACTCAGGGTTTTTTTTCGAAAAAATTAGCCTTTTTTCGAAAAAACTTCACCTGCGTCTAGACTGCAGCAGCGTTCTTTCGAAATTAAATCGAAAGAACACGGCTTTTCTTTCGACGGTGGTAAACCTCATTTCACGAGGAAGAACGCCTTTTTTCGAAAGTGCTCTTTCGAAAAAAGGCATTCTTGAATGCCAACAGGGCTTTTTAGAAAGAGAGCATCCAGACTCACTCGCTTTCTTTCGAAAAAGCGGCTTGCTTTTTCAAAAGTTCCGCTTGCAGTCTAGACATAGCCTAAGGGATTATCTTTTACTACCGTGCTATATGAGTACAGCTGCATTAATGCAGTCGTGCCAGTGCAGCGTGTCTGATGAAGGCAAGTTATATTGATGGGAAAGTGCTATCCCATCAGTGTAATTACTCCACCTCAATGAGAGGCGGAAGCTATGCCAGCAGGAGACACCGCTTCAAATTGATGTAACTGTTTGCTCAGGAAGTAGTTTTTCACACCCCTGAGTAACATAAGTTACATCCACTTAAGTGGTAGCATAGTGTTAATGTGATGTTCAGTAAACATAATACAAGGAATGATCTGCTACTGTTATCAAATATACTTATACACTATTTGGCAAAGCCAGGTAGGTAAGACGTACCCCATCAATGCTCAGCTACAGCAAGAGTCTGCGGGGTGTAGCTGAGGTGGGAGGACTTGTTCATGCCTTCCCACTTGTGAGGCTGGCTGGGGACCAGTTCAGCCCCAGCATAGCTCCAGAGCTACACTACAGTATGTTTGGCTGTCTCTGCCCCTCAACAGGCTATTAATTAGACATGAGCACACCAGCCATGTCTCCTTACAGGAAGGCCACTAGTATGCTCCGTGTGCTGGGGGCTGACTGGAGGGTGACATAAAACATGGCTATGCTGGAGCAGTGCAAAGACACTAGAGTGGGATTCAGGATTGAAATTGCAATATAATTTGGTAATTAAACTCCCATCTAAACTAAATCATGGTTAAAACACAGTTTTGTTATAGGGTATGGAGGGAGAAATGGACCATGTTGTAAGCTGCCTACACTAGAAATGTCTACATTAGAAAAAACAAATTCGCTTCCTTTTTGGGTTCTGCTTTGCTGATATTTTAAGTAATAATTGAACATAAGCCTCAAGCCCAAGTTTTCTCCCTGTTTTTGTTCCTGCAGGACTTTCCAGTCCTTGCCCCATTCTGGCCAGAAAGTACTGGGTTAGTTCAAGCCATGAATAACTGTAGGATTGTAGATCCTATTACAGGTTCGACCTCCTTGGTCTGGCATTGTTGGGACATGACAGTGGTCTCAAATTTGCCAGACCAGGGGAGCTCCTCTGCCACCAGCCCCCCAGCCCACTATCCCTCCTTGCTGCCAGCTCTGCTTCAGGCCATGCACCCCTGCCTCTGGCCTAGCTGGGTGGTTGGCTGGCCAGGCCAGTCCCCATCCCCTACCACTTGCTGCTACGGGTGGGCTCCCAGTGCCCTAGCTAGGGCTGCCGTGGGCAGGCTCCTGCTGCCCTGGCCAAGGTTGTAGTGTATGTTTGGCTCAGCTGCCACAGGTGGGCTCCCAGCACCCCCGCCAGGGCTGTTACAGAGCCCCAGCCCTGCTGCCCATGGGTTTGATCCGGGACTCTCTGGAACATCTTTCTTTCTACATTGACAGAACAAAGTCATTCTGGTTCTCTCCTCACCTGTTTGTTTCCATCGCTAACCATAACATGGGAGAGAGAATATCATCTCAAAGAATATCCCACTGGCTATCAGAGTGCATTAATACCTGCTACTCACTTAATAATTTACCTA